AGAAAATTACTAGCAGTAAATGTATATTAAATGCTTATGTTAATATCAAACAATTATCATTCTAAATACTATAGTAATCACATGATGGGTGGAAATGCTTTCTAAGAAAGATTATGCTAATAAAACTAAGAAATCTTCAATGTATTCTTATTTTAATTTTTTTTTATTTATTCAGAAAATAAATGCAAAGCTTCATGATGGAGTGTGTCAGCATTGCAAAGGTATCTTGGAGTGGCGGGTAAAGTTCAGCAAGTACAAACTACTATCAAAACCCAAAAAATGGTGAGTTGAGATACTTTGTGTTATTCACTGATAGTTTAGTTTGTGAACTTTTTGGAAAATGTTCTACTTTTGGAAACTCACAAGTAGTAGCTGATACTATATGGCATTCTCCAAATTTGGAGTCTGCAATGATAATATATAAAAGCAATGTTAAGTTTCTAATACGTTAGTCTTTCATCTTAAACTTTTGAAAAGAAAACACAGTGGAAAAGCAACTGCTTCCCTCTTCACTGTTAAAATGCTTGAACTGTTGACCTGTAAGTTTACAAAACTGCCAGTGTGCCCTTCTGAACAAAAAGTCAAACCTGAACCAGTTTTAACACAATTTTCCAAGGCCTCATTGCAGGCCGGTGCTAGAGGAATCTGCACATCTCTTAACTTTTGTAGTTCACAGGGACTATCTAGTAAAGAAATGAGGAGAGGAAGGCTTTAGTTTTGTGTCATGTCAAAACTCATCAGCAACACTGTTCTCAGTATTACGGAGGCTTCAGGTCCTACCAAATGCGTGCAAAACGCATTTCATTACCTCTTAGCATGTTCTCTCTTTTTGTATATGAAACTATAATCCTAAATATTAAATGTCTATCATTGTTTGCATGCAGTTCTATAATAAGTGTTTTTGGATAAGTACATAACAAAGTTGATAAAGATCTTAAAATAATCTATAGCTTTGTGATAGATTAATTTTCTGAAGTGGATACACTCTGCTTCATTCTTCCTTGCTCAGCTGCAGAGGTCCTTACCTCCATGGCTGCAGACACAGCCAGTGTTTCAACAACAGGATGTTGAACTCAAAGAAACTACAACTGGACTGTGGTGTACGATACAGCCAGCTTTGTCAGAGTAGTTCGCTCTGCATTTGCGTGTAGTTCTCAGTTACATACTTCTGAAATACTTATGAACTGCTTGAAGAGGTTCTGTAAATGTATGTGTGCGGTTCCCTGAATGACTGTATTTTATTTTGATTTTTGGTAGGTTAAAAGGGAAGGATTGTTTGTTCATAGTATATCCCCCACTTGTGAGAAGTTTTACTTTTTCATATGAAACCGTATGCAACAAATATTTTGGTACTAGTAAACAATTTAACCCTTTCACGTAAAAAAAAAAGTTAGAACTCTCACTGGTTCTCAAAGTAGACATTCTGGGTTCTGTTCACCACAGATGAAGTTGCGATTTGTCTTTTTTAACTCTTTCTCAAATGACTTTGTGCATCCTGTTTAAAAACAATGAGCTGTAACAAACCATGGTAGTGGATCTGGTTGTTTTGCCTCTTTTTACCTACCCCAAAGGTAAAAAAGCAGGCAAAAAAGCATGTAAATCAGAGAAGTATTGGAAATAGAAAAAGTGGCATTGTGGACATCTGCTTATGGCAGAATATGTGATGTTTTCTGTCATATTTTTTAACAAGTATATTGGGCAGCAGACTGTTCTAGCTCTACAGGTGGTAGTTTCTAGCCCAGCCTAAATCAGTGCAATGGCTGAGTGGGCTGCTGTTCTGAAAGGACAAGGCTATGAAGATTTTCAATGGGTGAAGATTGTAGGTGAAGCAAACACATTATAGACATTAAAAATGTGCCAATGTGGAAAAAAAATAATTCTTCACATCATAGATGATGGGAACAGTGGACTTCCCTGAACCTCAACTTATTTTTAGTTTTTTAACATCTTCAAAATTGTGATTGTTCATGCAACCACAAATTATCCTTACTTTACTTTTATTTCAAGTATTTAATTATTACAAATTAAACTATTAAAAAAAAAAAACAAATGTCTATCCACCTTGCATTGATAATGCCCCTGTTTCATGGCTGAGAAGAGCTGTAGACATTTTTTAATACTAATGCAACTGAACATAGAAGAAAGAAAAACAAAACAAACTAAGTAGGTATTTCCAGTGATATCTAACTGTAGGTTTTTCTTGGGTGAGAGGGAAGATCAGAAACACTAGGCAGTTCTGACTTTGCTTTTGTCAAAAGTGTCCTACAGCAATTCTTGTGATTTTACAAATTTTTAAGGAATTGGATATGCACATCTTGATGTGCAGACCCTAGATGAATATAGTAGGGAGAAGGTGGTAGTGCTTAAGAGTGGGATTTGAGAAAGCAATTAAAAATTATTTTTCACTAGGTGCTAGTTAGTGCGTCTCCCCTTATAAGGCATACAAAAACACTTTATAATTTAATTCTGTTTTAGCCAAGTCTGCAAATCCACTGTTCAGAACTGTACGCTAAATCTTTCCTGACAGCCTTTTGAGTGCCTGAGGAACAAAGAGTAGCTTTTAGGATAGCTGCATTATGTGGAATATGTAATTCCAGGTTCTGTTCCCCAGAAATACAAGGCTTTGGAAATGTCAGCTGAATGTTAAGCCATAGCATTTTAGAAATAACTAAATCTGTGAAGTTTTATAATATCTTAAAAAAGAATAGAGAAAAACCTCTACATAATTAGGTTGGTTTTTTTCAGAATACGGGTCTATGTAAACTTGTGTTCATGGAAAGGAAAGTCCAGGACTGGCTTTGTTTATACTCTGAGAAGTTCAAGAGCGAGATGTAGTGTCTGAATTGAAAGCTTTTTATTTGTAAATTCATGTTCCTTTTTTTACCTTATTCTTATTTTCTTTTATAGCTAAACAAGGAGAAGAAGTTATGTAGCTTTTAAAGTAAAACTATGTACTGAAATGAATTTGTCACTCTTGTCCTGGTTTCAGCTGGGACAAAATTAACTTTCTTCATAATACCTTGTGTGAGGCTATACTTTGAATTTGTGCTGAGAAGAAGGCTGATAACATCCTGATGTTTATAGTTGCTGTCAGGACAGTCAAGGACTTTTCAGCTTCTCTGCTGTGCCAGTGTCTGCAGGGGCAGGAGAAGCTGGGAGGGAGCACAGCCACAATTACTGGCCTAGGATTTGACCTTAGGTTTAGACTGAGACCCAAACTGGCCAATGGTATATTCCATATCATGCACATCATGCCCAGTATATAGATGGGGATCTGTCTAGAAGTACTCACTCTCTTGCTCTGGGTCATTCTCATGCTCTGGGTTGTCTCCCTCTGGATCACCCCTCTCTCAGGATCATCTCAGTCTCTGAGACACTCAGTCTTTAATCTCTTCTCTGGCATTACAGTTTTGGGACTCTCCCTGCTCTGGGATTGTTAGCTGGGAACAGGCTGAGCCTTGGTCATCGAGTTGTGAGCAATTGCACTGTGTATCACTCATTTGTGTATTTGTATATATTATCATTATTATTATCATATTGTCACCATTATTATCCTCATTGTTATCATTATTATTTTCATTATTATTTTTGATTTGATTATAGTTTAGTTATTAAATTGTTCTTATCTCAACCGACCTCTTTTCCTGTATCCCTTTAATTCTCTTCCCCATCCCGGGAGTGGGAAGGGGAAGTGAGAAGCTGTGTGGTGTTTGCCTCTAGCTAGTTTTAAAATCACAACACATTAAATATAAAAATTCCTAGTTCTATATTTCTTCTTCAGTTCTTGTTTTAGCAATTCTTCCTGAAAAAGTTAAAGGAGAGGGAAGACAGGCAATGACTTTGATAGTGCTGTTTGTTAAAACACCAATTGTTTCACGTGAAACTGGCTTATATGTGTTCCTCTTTTGAAGAGCATCTATGTTGTCTTTGATCACAGAATGTTTAATAAATGTCCACAAATATTTTCTTTAATAATGTTTTCTTTCTCTTCACAGTGTGAAGTGCCTCCAGAAGACTGTAAAAGATCCTTACCATATTATTTGTCGACCATGTGCTGGTAAACTAGAAGTTTGTGCTAAATGTGGAAAGGAAGAAGAAATAGTAATTCCGTAAGTAGCTCATAGGTTGCATTGTTTCAGTACTGCACTGTTTCTTCCCCTTTTATTAAAGCTTTTTTTGAAACCGCCAAGAAGCTGTTACACTTTATGCTGTATTCTGAGTAATCCTGACAACTTTCTTCTGCTGAAACTAGGGGTGAAATGCCTATTGATGCTAGTGGGCCTGGGCCAAAAAAAGTCTTACTTGAATAAGATGCTTTATTTTAATACCAAAGGGTAAATTGCATATATATATATATATA